GGTGCAACATGGAACAAAAGAGTACAAAGTGCAAACGTGCAGACATAAGTGTGCAAACAAAAAATTAAGCTAGAAACAATACAATAAATACAATAAATTAAACAGACAGACACAATAAACAGACAGTACAGTACAGTGCTGACACAGCACTCATTTCTGGACATGAGGTAGTGGAATAAGGTGCAGACATATTTAACATGCTGTGATATGTGAGTTATGCAGTCAGATAACATACATAACCACAGCAGTTACTGAGGTAGTACTTGAGTAAACAGTAAACACAGTTTCCCCAGGCATCTCCACTGCCCCTTTAGTCTGCCAAATTCACACTCCACTATAATTCTGGCCATGCTGTGGTGCTTGTTAAAACACTTTTGACACCAGCTAGACATACAGTATACAGTATGATATACAGTATATGTTTAGTTGGGTAAAATAAAAAAAACAATGTCATACTTTTATGAAATAATTAATTTCATTTCACATCCTTCATGGTCATAATCTACAAAGAGGATCAATATTGCATGTACATGAAGGATACAGAAGAAAGTTCCCCTCCTTCTGCCATAGCATAGACTTCTGAAGTTTTAAGAACCACTGCTAGGCCATCCAACGTGAAGCTATCAAGAACAGAACAATTCATATGGAAGTACAAGCAAATAATTATGATTAAAATAATTTTACGATTAAAATTAAAATTAATATCTAATCCTTAATGTGACATTGTACAGTGATATATTTAAGTGTCCTTTTTACTTTTAAATGACCTGTGTAGGACATTTAAAGAGGCAGACTTTGAAAATAGAAATGAGCTAGTAAAATCAGACATTTACTAACAGTGCCTAAAAACTTCTATAAAATGAAAAAATACTTTTGTATCACATTGAGCATGGATTTTAATAATGTTTGAATTGCGTAGATTTTCTTATAGAAAAAACAGCATAAACCACTATATGCTGTGTTTGACATTGGTGTGCTGGTCATTGGCTGGATGACCAGCTACCTCAGCACCAGACCATCACTAACTAGCACGGACTAGCTTAGAATTCATGGTCTAAGTTGTTTTTTATTAAGCAGCATGCAAAATGAAGACTGGTTTAGAGTCAGTTTAAAGCAATAGAAAAGAAAAGAAAATTTTGATATAGAATAGGCTTACCAGAGCTGATGATCCACGATTCCCTGCAGAAGAACAGAATGGTATCCCTTATGGTTGAAGTAAGCTTTCAGGTGCAATGGTAGGAATATGACTCCTGTCGATAGCCCTGGCACACTGAGGAAAGCCCATCTTTTTCGAAAGCATCATAGGATGTCCTGGAGGTCCTCCTTGAGGTAGCTTGATGTAGTAAGGCATGAGAACATAACGCATGGCCTTGCAAAAATCATGGATAATTCAGCAAACAAACCTTGCCAAGTTAGACAATGTGCAGTAACCCTCCCCCGTTGTCAGCCAGGACAAAGCAAATCTGGCTCAGATTTTCCATCCAGACATTTCTCTCCAGTGAATCTGATCTATATTTGAAGTGCGACTGAAAAAATCATATCATGAAATATTTTTCTCAATTTTATGTGTTCCACAGTTTTTGCACCCCTTCATTTCATACTTTCGGCAGCCTCCCTTTGCAAAGATAACAGTAAATGGGACTGGAGAACAAATGACTGGAGAACGTGATCTCCATTCCTCCATATAGAATCTCTTCAGATCCTTCAGATTCTGAGGTCCATGCTTATGGACTCCTCTGTCATTAGGTCAGGGGATTGGGATGGCCATGCTAAAACATTGATTTGTGGTCAGTGAGCCATTTTTCTACAAATATCTGGCTGCAAAGGTACTTGTTTGTTGACACATACAGGTAACACATGTAGGAACATAAGGTAACACATGGAGAGTAAAGTAATTTGTACCTAATTCCCCTGATTTAAACTGCACAATGCACTGTATTTACTCTGCCTTTACAGACTAGCTAGCTGTAATCTCACCACAACATCCTGTGAAAAACTATCATTGGTTCTACAACTAAACTCCTCCCTGAAAGAGCTGGACCTCAGTAACAATGACCTGCGAGATTCAGGAGTGGAGCTATTCTCTGCTGGATTGAAGAATTCACACTGTAAATTGAAGACACTCAGGTAAGATTTCTGTAAATTTGAAATTTAATAATAAATGTGAAGCTCTTATATTTAATGTATGACTACTTTTCAGGCAGGGGCGGCACGGTGGCGCAGTGGGTAGCGCTGTTGCCTCACAGCAAGAATGGCCTGGGTTCGATTCCTGGCTGGGCGACCAGGGCCGTTTCTGTGTGGAGTTTGCCTGTTCTCCCCGTGTCTGTGTGGGTTTCCTCCGGGTACTCTGGTTTCCTCCCACAGTCCAAAAACATGCAGTCAGGCTGATTGGACATGCTAAATTGCCCCTAGGTGTGTGTGAATGTATGTGTATGTCTGTCTGCCCTGCGATGGACTGGCGACCTGTCCAGGGTGTATCCTGCCTTCCGCCCAATGACAGCTGGGATAGGCTCCAGCACCCCACCGTGACCCAGAAGGATAAGCGGTTTAGATGATGTATGTATGTATGTACTTTTCAGGCATGACAGGTGTAGCTGACATATGTAGCTGAGAGTCGCCTGTGAAATTCTGGATGAATTCCATGTGTGATAATGCATCCACGTCAATCCCACCACTCCTGGCTCTGATTTTGCATCTAGATATTCTTCTCCAGTGAAGTAGCTGCCATCAATCCACAGATATACATCAGTGACATAATGACCCTTTTTCGCTTCCTCGCTCTCATGATAATTTGTTTATGAATTTGCAGCCGCCCTCCGCCGCACATTAACATAGGCATTAACTTTAAGCTAGTGGCTGTTAACTGTTGACTCCATTTTGATTGTTTACCTCTGAATGCGCTTGCCACATGAAGCATTGTTCTTTCGCGCATATGGGTCAGTTTAGGAGTGTGCTCTGTTGAGAATAATATTGGATATAGGTCATATTAAAAAGACAGTGTTACTTCATGTATAAACTTTTCCTTAATGCTTAGTTAATCTTCATAAAGTAAATAATGTAATGATATTAATAATAATATTTTTGAAACATTAATAGTCATTACTTGGATCCCTATTATGAACTTCTGAGTTTATGATATATTTAAAAACAAATTGTATAACATATTACATTCATATTACATTTACAGCTGTTACTCATTGAGTAAATAGCTAATAATAAAAGTGTAGCATTTCTGCATGCACAAGCAAAAGTGATATAATTATGTATATTCATTAACAAACTATTATATAATGATTAATTTGCTATTTATAGGGCCCTGTTATTATAAAATGTTATGAAAGTGCAACTCGACTCTTGCTACTTCACTACAGAATCAGAGCCAATCCAGGTATATTTAATGGATTATGTATCTGCTATTAAAGGATTGGTTTCGTAAAAATCAAGTTTATACATTTTTTAAAGTGTCCTCCACAAATATTGGCACCCTTTATAAACATGAGCAAAATTGGCCATAAAAACATATGTGTGCTTATTCTTTTAATCTTTCATTCAAAATATGAGCAAAAATCTAATCTATATTTAAAGTGCGATTGAAAGACAAAATCTTATCATGAAATATTACTCTTAACTCTATGTGTGCCACAATTTTTTGCACCCCTTAATTTCATACTTTTTGCTGCCTCATTTTGCAAAGATAACAACTTTGAATCTGCTCCTGTAACACTAAATGAGATTGGAGAACAAATGGCATGTGATCTGAGACCATTCCTCCATATAAAACCTCTCCAGATCTTTAAGATTTTGAGGTCCATGCTCATGGACTCCTCTTCTGCTCATGCCACAGTTTTTTTCTAGGGCTTAGGTCAGGGGATTGGGATGCCCATGGCAAAATATTGATTTGTGGTCAGTGAACTATTTTTCTACAAATATCTGCCTGCAAAGGTACTTATTTGTAGATACAAACATAAGGTAACACATGAAGAGTAAAGCCACTTCTTCCCTGATTTAAACAGTACAATGCACTGTATTTACTCTGCCTTTACAGACTAGCTAGGTGTAATCTTACCACAACATCCTGTGAAAAACTATCATTGGCTCTACAATTAAACTCCTCCCTGAAAGAGCTGGACCTCAGTAACAATGACCTGTGGGATTCAGGAGTGGAGCTGCTCTTTGCTGGACTGAAGAATTCACACTGTAAATTGAAGACACTCAGGTAAGACTTCTGTAAATTAGAAATGCAATAATAGATGTTAAGCTCTTATATTTAACATATGATTACTTTTCAGGCATGAGCACCCATACATTCAAAGGTTTTGGCTTTTGGAGATATTTGCCATTTTGGAAGACAAATACACTACTGCAGCTAAATTACACTCTCTTTAAAGCCTATGTCAAGACCCTCACAAGGAAACATTTGTGAACTATACATCACCCAAATTCCCTCACTTCATTTGAAAACTGCAGAAATGCTGGTTCATGCTTTCATCACCTTATATATAGATTACTGTAATTCTCTTTTCATGAGCATTTCTGCTAATGCACTACACCGTAAAAGGTGGAACAGGGCAGAAGTTTATTTGAAGTATTTTTTTATTATTTGGTTTGATGAAAAACACTGTTTCTGTTCATTTTAACTAGAATTTATTTTGTTTCAAGCAATAGTTGCATTTGACATGAATACAACTAGTTAATTAGTTAAACCCCATATTAACACACAAAGTCCATGCTTAGATTGATCTGACTAAACATTTTTGCCATATATTGGACACATTCAAGTTCAGCTGCTATGGTTCTTAGATACATTAGAAATTCTACATGTCAGTGTAATTTTAATGAACTGTTTTGTTAAACAAACTTTGAGTTAAACTTTTGATGAACTGTTAGGCTGTGATCATCTGCTGTATTTGTTTCTAGATGATGTAACACTTGAAGAGTGTTGTCATTCTAATTCTCTTGACATAAATGCACCATGTGCTGTATTTACTCTGTCTTTGCAGACTAGCTATCTGTATTCTCACCCCAATGTCCTGTAAAAAACTAGCATCAGCTCTACAATCAGTAAATTCCACCCTGAAAGAGCTCGACCTCAGTAACAATGACTTGCAGGATTCAGGAGTGGAGCTGCTCTCTGCTGGACTGAAGAGTTTACACTGTAAATTGGAGACACTCAGGTGAGATTTCTGTAAAATACAATGATTATAAATGATAAAGTTCCCATATTTAATATATTTCTCATGTTGAGGACTCAGTTAATTGTGCAGATTTTGAGATTTTGGGGGTTCCTCCCTGAGCAAAGAATATTTGATAGCACTAGAGATCTATAGTAAATGAATAGTGATGTGGTAATACTATTGTAACAAGTTGTTGTAACCCTAAAAATACATGCAAGTTTTCTAGTTGTTACTAATTAGGTTATTAGTTGTAATGGTAATAAGTGAGTCGTAAATGCTAAAATAATGGAAAAGAATAGAATATTGCTATTGTACAAATACAATGGAATTGCAGTGCAACTTCCATGCTAGATACTGTTGATTGATATAGAATATAAATATAATTTTAAAAATCTGCACAAAATATACCTTTGTGTGCAGAATGGAAACAAAATGAAGTAGTAAAGAGAACAGTATAAAGAGTGAAAAAACAAATTTACAGAGCAATATGAGAGAGCAGTTAACATTCAGTATAAGTAGCAGCAATAAGGGTGGTAGCAGCCATGGACATTATCTTTAGTAATATTATAGGTATTAGTCAGTCAGTGATACAGAAAGTGCACGTGCAGTGTGTGGTAGTTTGATATGGACATTCAGCTCAGCAGCCAGAATGGTAGAAGCTATGCGCATCACATGTTAATTGACACTGGTATCAGTACAGCAAGTAATGATGCTATGATACAAAAAGTAATGTTTAACGCAGTGAGAGTGATGTTCTATGGTTCAGTGCAGTATTCACTCTTGGAAATAAGCTATTTCTCAGTATGGAGGAGTGAAGATAATCTTATGCCATATGTCAGATGGCAGAAAGTGAAACAAGTTATGGCAAGGGTGACTTGGGTCTTTGCATGTGCTGGTTGTTTACAGCATAATTTATGAATGATCTTCAAGTATAGTAGCTGAACCTTGATGATTTTCTAGGAACTTGTGATGATCCCCTGCAGTGCTTTCCTGTCCAAAGTGATCAAAGGCCCACCACAGCATTTTTCCTCCTTACTCAAAATGTTATGTTAGCAGGAAGTATGTGATTATCTTCATACTTCAGTTTCAATACAACATTTTTTTGGCACTGCAGAGTGCATAAAATGACCTTTAAATATTTATTTATTTATTTATTTTGTGTATTTTCCTCCTAACCACTGGTTGGGACTTTATTTGGTGTGATCTTAGAAATCATAGATAACACAAATTGAGAATAACAAATCATAATGGGGCAGTCGTGGGCCGGAAGTTAGGGAGCCAGCCTTGTGACTGTAAGGTCACCGGTTTAATCCCCTGAGCTGACAGTACATGACTGAAGTGCCCTTGAGCAAGGCGTCTAACCCCCAACTGCTCCCTGGGCACTGTGGATAGGGCTGCCCACCGCTCCAGCCAAGTGTGCTCACTGCCCCCTAATGTGTATGTGGTGTTTCACTGTATGGATGGGTTAAATGCAGAGGTGAAATTTCCCTGTTGTGGGACTAATAAGGGTCACATAATAATAATAAGCTACCATATAGTGCATTTTCATGAACTGTAAAGTCAACTGACCCACCCACACTTCACGTGATCGACATTGCTCTAACTAACTCTAAGGCACTCATTTACAAATGCTTAGTTTTGAATGCAGGAGGGAGAAATGTAACTTTCTACATTATATTCTGAATAACCTGACCAAATCATAAAGGCTCACTTTTCTTTTCAAAAGTCTGTACCAAGCTTTTTTGCTGGCTCATTTGTAAATTGGGTTCAATACAGCACTGGATTTGCTAGCTGACTCAAGCTGACACTTACTGAAGCCAGTATGGATTATAAGATGGTAAAACTTTTTTTTTAAATCATTTTCTTTTGACAGTTTATTCAGTAATGTAGATACATTATATTAATGTTAGCTACCTGCCATCAAATATTTTGCATCTAAGATGCAAGTCAGCTACAAATGTATTTTTATAATGTTGTATGAAATGACACATGGACATTTTTGAAGTTGCCAATAGTCACTGATTTTCCCATGTTTAGCTCTCGCTGTATATAGTTAAAGCTAGCTAGACCTGGTTAACCAGTCAGATAAAAGCTAGCTAGCTAACATTAGCTAACAGCCAAGTCTCCAAGTCAATGGTGGAATCCACAACATAATTAAAATGTGGTTAATCTAAATTTCTGCAAATTAATGTAAAAGTAAGTATGAAATGCATGGATATCTTCTAATTTAATTTAACCAGAGAATTTCATTAGCCTCTATTTGATCACAGCACAGATCTATTGATGGAGACCCCTAACAGCCTTTCTCATATTGCTGCAATGCATCTGCATTCCAAAATAGGGAGATAGCATGCCAGTGTATTTTTCATCCTGCTTATATTCAGATCATTTTGGAATGACGAATTTACAGTAAATGCCATAAGGTTGAAGTCAGCTTCTAATGCACCAGCTTAGTTTTCACTGTTATACTTTGTATATTATATTATGAAGAGATGGCAAATTGTTTGCTTAGTTCATGAGATGGCAGTGGGATTATGGGAGCAGCAGTAGACTGAAACAGGTGATGAGAGCCAAAATAATTTTGGTAATTTTGTAACTTAATTTAAACAAGTGAATTTTTCAATTTAAGTGTTTTTTATCATTCCTCAATACAATTTGTATACACAAACAAAGCATGACTACACAGAGCACATACATAACAGTGTGAATCAAATGCAGAATATACAATAAATATATCAGACAATAAACATTCAGGGCATTAAATAAACATGACAAATACACAGATTAATAAACACACATGACATTCACTAGACAACACAACAAAACAATATATGGATCCTTCATTTTGGTATTCTAACTGCTTTAGAACTAACTGAAATGACCCTATACATTTCTTAAGTTTATTTTCCTAAAACACATTGAACATTCCCTTTTGTTATTACCAATGCCATAATAACACCTCCAAAACTTTATTAAATGTTTCAATCATGACTATTTCAATAGTGAGAATTTTAGCCAAGTTTGAGTATAACCCAAAAACAATAACTGGAACAAGACTAACAAACAGAGCTTTGAATAGTTATACATACATAAAATGTTTTTTTAAGTATCATAATGTTTTTATTTAAACACAAGTTCACCTAATTTCAGAAAATTTGTTTTTCAGTAGTGACAATTCTTAATGGTCCAGAGAGATTTTGGGACACATTTTCTTTAAAACAATGAGATCACCAAGTGTCCATGGGCACAGGACACAGGGTTGCAATCAGACTTCTTGGTCAAAAATGCAAGAATTTGGCTAAAAATAATCCTCCACGGGCGGCATGGTGGCGCAGTGGGTAGCGCTGTCGCCTCACAGCAAGAAGGGCCTGGGTTCGATTCCCGGCCGGGTGACCAGGGTCGTTTCTGTGTGGAGTTTGCATGTTCTCCCTGTGTCTGCGTGGGTTTCCTCCCACAGTCCAAAAACATGCAGTCAGGCCAATTGGACATGCTAAATTGCCCCTAGGTGTGAGTGTGGGTGTGGATGTATATGTCTGTTTGTCTGCCCTGCGATGGGCTGGTGACCTGTCCAGGGTGTATCCTGCCTTCCGCCCGATGACAGCTGGGATAGGCTCCAGCACCCCACCGCGACCCGGAAGGATAAGCGGTTTAGATGATGGATGGATGGATGGATAATCCTCCACCTATGGATTAAAACTCTTTGTTTCAGTAGTGATATAAAAACGTGAGACAGCATTTCTTGAATAATTTTGTGACTAACTGGAAGTCAGTGTAAAAACTTTAGAACTGCTGTAATTTGCTCTGTTCTTTTTAGGCCTGTTTTAAACTCTAGCAGCATCTTGAATGAGCTGCATCTTTTGTACAGTTAAGAGTCCATTGTAGTAATCCACCCTGCTGAAGATAAAAGTACAGATGAGTTTCTCCAGGTCTTGTTGGGGTACCAAACCTTTCATTCTGATTGTATTTTAGGATGGTACAAGCCTGTTTTGATGATTGCTGTAATAAAGCTAGAGACTACTGGAATGCCGAGACGTCATTGTTTTGTGTTTTAGAGCCTGTGAATCTAGGTGTTAGCCAATACTAATTCTTTTCTATTTGTGGCTAAACATAGTCTCCATTATGTTCTTATCTAATTTTGCCTCTGTAATGACCTCAGGTTGAAAATTGTTTTTGCTTTGGAGGCTTGGTTCTTAAAATGTGTTCTTAACCATATCTCCTGAAGCTCTGAATCAGAATGAGATTTTATGTTGTAGTTGGTATTGTGAAGATGTTGAGTGAGTTAATTGTGTTTTTGTTCTGCCATGTTTTATATCAGTGTTCATGTATATTTACAAAATCTTATTTTTGCTTTGTTTGTTTTGTACTGCAGCTGTTTTTTGTTTTGTGTAAATGCCATCTGTCCCTCTTTTTTCTTCCTTTTTGCAGAATGTCTGGTTGCATGGTTACAGTTAGAGGCTGTTTTACTCTGGCTTCAATTCTGAAATCAAACACCTCCCACCTGAGAGAACTGGATCTGACCTATAATCACCCAGGAGATTCTGGAGTGAAGCTGCTCTTTGAACTACTGGAGGATCCACACTGCACACTGGAGAAAATACAGTGAGTTACTAACTTACTGTTTCAATAAACAGGCTGACTACAATGTTTAACTGTAGATGTGTTTTTCTTTATGGTGAGTTGGTTTATGGTTGGTTGGTTATGGTGAACTGTTGTTTTTATCAACATGACTGTGACTAGCTTAAGGATACCAGGCTCCTGACTGGTTGGTTTGAAAGGGTTTTATGAGATTCGTTTTGGAAACAGTGACCAGATTGCACAGTCAGCAGTGATTGGCTGTCTTCTGACCTCAGAACAGCTGTGGTTTAGCCATAGACGTAAGTGCCTGCTATGTTTATGTCTGCATGAGATGCTAATGCTACACATATAGTAAGTGACTTTGACTTCATGAGATGTTCAGGTATTCACCATATGTACTACAAACTAACATATCACATTGTTTTGATTAAAATATGAGAGATTATGAGGGCAATTAAGAGATGATTCTGGTGAAAAGAAAACCCCATTAATTTGTTTTTTATTTGAATCACTTGTTACATTTTGCTTAGCTGCAGTAGCAGCTCATTGACAAGTCAGACTGTAGTTAGCTATATAAGCAATCAAATTAGCTGGAGCCAAGTTAATGTTGGTTCAAAGTTGTGTTAACTACTTACAACTCTATAACCAGAATAACAATAGTGATCTACTACCAGTTCACGGTTAATTAGCACACTGATTGCACAGTTCTGCCAGGAAGACTCATGAGACAGGAGTGAAGAAAAGTAAGTAGAAATCAAAGCATCTTTAGCATATACCACATCCTTGGTCCAGGTGTTGGAGTACCGAGAGCCTTGCAGATCCTGCTGGATCAAAATGGCAGGAGCAGAGACTACCTCCAATTCACTCTATTGACTAGTGGCCATGGGCCCATTGCATTCACTCATTAGTTGGGGCTGTGGGCCCATTGCATTCTCTCCATTAGCTTGGGGCCATGGGCCCACTCCATTCACTCATTAGCTTGGGGCTGTGGGCCATTACAAGCACTCTATTAGTTTAGGGCCATGGGCCCATACATGCAATCTATTAGTTTTGGGCCATGGGCCTATACATGCACTCCATTAGTGTAGGGCCATGGGCCCATAAATGATCTCCACTGGCTTGGACCATGGGCCCATACATGCACTCTGATAGTGCAGAGCCATGGGCCATGGATGCACTGCATTAGTTTAGGGCCATGGGACCATACATGCACTCCATTAGTTTGGGCCACGGGCCCGTACATGCCCTCCGTTAGTGCAGGGCCATGGGCCTGTATATGCCCTCTGTTAGTGCAGGGCCATGGGCCCATACATGCACTCTGTTAGTGCATACATGCTCCTTGTTAGTGTAGGGCCACAGGCCAATTCATTTGCTCCATTAGCTCAAGCTATGGGCCCATACATGCACTCTGTTAGTGCAGGGCCATGGGCCCATACATGCACTTTGTTAGTGCATACATTCTCCTTGTTAGTGTAGGGCCACAGGCCAATTCATTTGCTCCATTAGCTCAAGCTATGGGCCCATACATGCACTCTGTTAGTGCAGGGCCATGGGCCCATGCGTGCTCTTCATTAGTTTAGGGCCGTGGGTCCATATACACATTCTTTTGGCTTGGGCCACAGACCCATTTATGCATTCCATTGGCTTGGGCCATGGGCCCTTTCATGCACTTTGTTAGCTTGGGGCCATAGGACCAGGTATGCACAAATGTAAAACATTTCTCAGGGTTTCCATCGAACTTATATTGTTTACTTAAGGGGAATGGAACACCAGCTGTATCTACAGAGGTGGAAGGGCTAGCAGGACTGTTAGCTAAACTCAGACCCTGGAGTTGGGCTTTAACTCCATTACACTAGAGACTACGGTTGCTAGTTGGGCTTGTTGTTCCTTGTAACGGTGGCAGATAGAAACAGATGCTTGCAGATGAGGCTGTAATTAAGATCTTTAATAACAATGGGATGATTCAAAATCACAGTTGAAAAGCCAGAGCAAAAAGTCAAAAACCAGATCCAGAACAAGACAAAAGGGAAAGACAAAAATCAAAGTCAGAACAGAAAAACACATCATACATGGAAATCGATAAACAAGCAAGGAGAGAATGCTGAGTTTGCTCAAGCTGAGATGATACTTTGCAATGAACTATACTAAAGGCTGGACTTATATACTAAACTAACACACCCATGAAATAAGGAATAGGTGTGTGTGTGATCAATAGTTTGGAGAAGCTGAGTGCTGATAGGTTGGTCTGATGGAGTCCTGGGTCATGTGAGGCAGCGAGGGGTTCTGGGAATTGTAGTCTGAGGCAGTTCCAAAGTCATTGTCAAAAAACAGGCCAAGGTCAGATCCAAAACAATCCAAAACCAAGAAAACACCATCATAACAAAGTCAAAGTGATACAGCAGAAAGGCAGAATCATAACAAACAGACAAAAGGTCAATAATCAAGAAAAACAAACTGGAATGCACAATGAAACACCGGAAAACAGGAAAGCTCTGGTAACAACAGCAGTACTTTGCCAAGTGTCTAAGCTAAAGCCCAGGCTTATAAAGCTAACTAAACAGATTACATAACAGTAGAAAATAATCAGTATTCAGATGAGGCTGATCTTGGACAGATTGTGTTTTGAGGAAACAAAGTCACATGATCACCCAAAGGGTTATGGGTTGGTATAGTGTAGTGGATAACACCTCTGCCTTGTATGCTGTAGACTGGGGTTCAATTCCTGCCTGGGCACCCTACACTATTCCAATTAGAATCCTTGGGCAAGACTCCTAACACTACCTTCGCCTACCTGTGTAGAATGATCTTATTGTAATTTTGCTCTGGAAAAAAAGTGTCTGCCAAATGGGAATTGGAGTCCCTGCTGGAGGGATGCATGACACTGAATAGTCTTTCACCTCAAATTGGGTTGCAGCATTCTTAGCAATTTTGATGTATTCTGTTTAAAAACTTGGATTTTTTATTTATGAATATGATTCAAAATATTATTTTAGTGTCAAGGGATATTCTTATGTTAAATGTGAAGTTTGGCTGCATTCTACATGTTTTTTTTATTCTCACCAAGACAATGTTTTGTGTTCCAGTTTACAAGTCCAGCCTACTGCCAAAAATGCTAACAAAACAGCAAATGTGCATTAAGCTATTAGAGTATTTAAAAATGGAAATTTTAGTTTTATTCAGGTCATTTATCTGTTACAATATGAAACAAACCATTTACACACACACACACACATCTTCTAAGCCGCTTCTCCCTCAGGGTCACGGGGGGTGCTGGAGCCTATCCCAGCTGTCATTGGGCGGAAGGCAGGATACACCCTGGACAGGTCGCCAGTCCATCGCAGGGCACAAACCATTTAATATAATGGAATTGTTTTAGCTGTTGTCAAAGCATTACATGAAGAGCATTCAAGTTAAATTAACTAATATGTAAGTAAGCAAAACTTGAAAAAGCAGAGTACTGCCATTTTACATCATTTATACTAGAAAAGTGCATTTCCTAAGGAAATTGCAGAGTGATGGCGCAGCTTAAACTTGCTCAGATGTTGCCAGGTGGTTGCTAGGATATCCCAAGTGGTTTGTAGGGTGTTGTTTTGTGGTTGCAATGGTATCCCAGTTGAGATGCTGTCTGTGTATGAACTATGGTGAATGTGAGGTATGTTTGGTGTATAATGTGTATGATGTGTGTGGAGTGTGTTGTGTATGTGTAGAGAGTGTGGTGTTTTTTCTTTTTTGAGTGTGCATTGGTATGTGTTGTGTTTGGTATATGAAGATGATGTGGATTGTTCACAGACTGAGGTACTTTACTGCTTCTGCACCTATCTATAAAAAATTCTGTTTGTCAGAGGTTTTCTTAGCTTTTAGGTGCCAACAGATCAGTGACATTTTGTTCCTGGTGTTAAAGTTTTCTAGGATAGTACTTACAGGCATTGGTTTTAAGTTTGGAATTGAGTTCATAGCCTTAGTAAATTTTTCTTTAGTGCTGTCATTTAAGTGTCTCTTTTTGATATAGACAGGTTGTCTTTACACCACAGAGAAGATCTGAATATAAAACAGAGTACAGAAATGATCCGATACAGCCAGATCCATAAGGGACAGAGTTAATATTCATATTCTTGCTAATAATCAGGTTAAGTATGTCACCCCTATTGTATGTGGGCTTTTTTACATGTTGTGAGAACCCAAAAGTGTCTAACGGAGTTAGAAATTCTTTTGCAATACTGTCCTTTGGATTTCCTATAGTGTAAGTTAAAATCACCAGTTATTAAATTACTGCTGTAATCTATGGAGATGGCAAACAGGTCAAGTCAAGTCAAATTTATTTGTATAGCGCTTTTTACAACTGATGTTGTCACAAAGCAGCTTCACAGAAATCCATTTAGGACAAAGTTTCAACATGAAATGTTAATCCTCCAGGTGAGCAAGCCAGTGGTGACAGTGGCAAGGAAAAACTCCCTCAAAGCTGAGGAAGAAACCTTGGGAGGAACCAAGGCTCACAAGGGGGGACCCATCCTCCTCTGGTCAAACTACCTACAAAATTATTATACTACTAATATTAATAGTAGTAGTAGTAATAGTTAGGAGTCCACTTCAGTGTAGAGTGGGCAGCCAGTCCAAGGCAGGTGGCGGTGACTGGGGTGTGGGCAACTGGTCTGAAGCGGGTAGCCGGAGAGCTCTACAGACAATCATCCAGCAGTGTCCGGCCGGACAGGTGGGCAGTCGTTTTCTCGGAAGAAAGGTAGGGAAATGGAGTTAGTTTAGTTCTGTATGGGTGTATGTATAATAATATGTAAAACACAACGGAGTGTGGCTAATGACTCCGGCAGATCTGACTACAACAGCTTAACTAAAAGGAGAGAACCAAAAGGGCACACAGATACGGGAGCACCCTGAGACAATTTGGCATCCCTCCGCTCCACCGTCCACAAACCTGAGTGATCGCGTGCGAGTGGCGGGATGACAGCAGCAGCGTCTCAGTTTACTATAATTCCCTGCTTCCATGGACCCCTGGTTCTGCTGCCTTTATCCAAGGGGAAACATTAACTACCAAAAGCTAAACTAAATAAGTGAGTTTTCAGCCTAGATTTGAAGATTGCGACTGAGTCTGAGTCCCAAACATTTTCTGGAAGATCATTCAGTTTGGGGGCTTTATAAGAAAAGGCTCTTCCCCCAGATGAAGCCTTCTGAATTCTGGGAACTATTAAAAAGCCAGCACTCTGTGATCTGAGCAATCGTGGTGGCTCGTAATGGGAAATGACGTCTTGAAGGTACTCAGGAGCGAGTCCATGTAGGGCTTTATACGTCAATAAAAGAATTTTGTAATCAATACGGAATTTAACAGGCAGCCAATGAAGTGATGATAGAACTGGACTGATATGATCAAATTTTCTAGTTTTAGTGAGAACCCTGGCTGCAGCATTTTGAACTAGTTGAAGTTTACTTAAATTCCTGCTGGTGCATCCTGATAATAGTGCGTTACAATAGTCTAGCCTTGAAGTAATAAAGGCATGACGCAGAAACATTAGTACATGCCTTTATTACTTCAAGGCTAGACTATTGTCTGTATAAGGCATTTCTTATTCTGGCGATATTGCGAAGATGTAAAAAAGCTGACCTAGTCATACTGCCTATGTGTTGATCGAATGATAAATCTGGATTTAGTATTACACCAAGATTTTTTGCTGCTGAACCAGGTATAACTGGAAAGTCAGCAAGATTTAAAGTTAAATCTGATAATTTATTTCTTGCCACTTTTGGACCCAGAAGGAGAACCTCTGTTTTGTTACTGTTTAGAAGGAGGAAGTTACGCAACATCCAACCTTTCACATCTTTTACACAAT